ATGTTGCCGTGACTGGCACCACTGCTCCCAGCCCTGCTCCACCACCTTGCAGAGCAGATGGCCATTACCTGCAGGTGGGCTGGTCATGGTCCCTCCCACTCCTCCTTTAAAGGGGGGCCAATCAGGATGAGGCTCATGGCAGAACAGGTAGGAATGAGAGCATAGCCCAGGCAGCAGTGACACCAGGTGGGGCTGAGGTTGTGTGATGCTACTGGGCCCTGATCCTGGGGGCAGGAACACCCAAGTGAACGTCGTGTGTGTTTTCTGAGCTTGAGTGTTGGTTAGTGTGCCAAATCCTTCTACCAAGCATCTCTAAAGATCCTAACTGCCCCCATAGTTTGTGTGAGAGCTGTTTTCTGGGCCTGTTTGGGCCCCTGCTCACCTTTGGCTTCTCTTGTGGTGCACCACATTTTTCCAAACCCAGCTTCCTCTTTTCCCTATTCCATGTGCAGGGCTCCCACTCCTCGTGCCTTTCTGTGTGTGATACCTCTGGATCCAAAGGAACCATCAAATGAAACCAACAAGTATTTCAATACTACTTTGGACTGGGCCTTCCTTTTATCCATTTTGAATATTACTTTCTCTTCCTGCTCTGTGATTTAACTCTCACAATCAGAACACAAAATCAGTCACACAAAATGCAGCCACTAACTAACCTCCTCATTAATTTAATCCCATTAGTCCTTTAGTGGTTGCACTGGCTTTCCCTCTACTGATGCCTCTTGTCACTGTCTTCAAAACTCTGCATACCTTCTCCATTTTGCATTAGCCTCAGTAGCCTGTTTGTAAGCATCTAATAAAAACTGTTAAGAAGTGATCCATGAAATAAAATACATTTTTAAAAATCCTGCTAGAAGCTATTACTGAAATATATAAATACAGAGTATGTATGTGACAACTCTTCCTATTCTGCAAAAGAGGGTGTGTGCAAAGGTATGTACATGAGAGGTGATAGTCTTTACCAGTAGTTTCAGTGAACAAAATGTTTAAGATCAGTATTACTTCAAGAGCAGGAGCTTTTAATGGGTTAATAACATTGCTCCATACCACAATGTTACAATCAGCTAAAAGTGATCAATTGATAAAAACAGTCCAAATGGTTAACTTTTTTATTTCATGTACATAGAGAGACCACCAGATAAAAGTATTAATCAAAACTGTTTGGCACTGCCTGACCCCTTCTTCAGCAATGTACCTAGCAAGGAATCTGTTCTCTCCCCCCCAGTGCACACTTCGCAGCTACTGCTTACTTACATTTGATTCAGGGATGCAGGATTTGTAAAAAATGCACCTCTCCTAAAGACTAGGGAGAAACATTACCTCTTCTGACTGGAGGATGAACTAAAATTCAGGGT